GCAAATTTTTACTATCAATTAATACTACAATTTACAAGCATGGAAACATGTTAAAATGGTAAGTGTTATAAAACAAATTTAAAGATAATATGGTACATAAAGTAAATGGTACCATTTAAATGCAAAAATAAAAAAATTATAAATTAATAGTATTAATACTAAAAGCATGGAAACATGTAACAATGGTAAGTATTCTAAAATTAATACTATTAATTCTATAATTTACAAGCATGGATAAGTATAAAATCGTAAGTGATCTAAAATAAAATAGAAAATAAATACCATAGGGTAAGTAAATGGTACCATTTAAATACGAAAATAAAACTAAAAAATACAAATTCCGAAATAGATACATTAATATGTTGAATTATTATTTAAATAAGTCAAATTATTGAATTATTGTCGGGGACAATATCTGAAACATGTTGAATTATTGTTATTACGGAAATTGGTATTTAGTCATGGGCAAGTGTTTGTTGCAGTTTCAAGAGTAATAAATCACAATGACTAGAAGATTCTGATATACAACGAAGTAAATGCTCACACGAATTATACGAGTGATGTAGTTTATAAATAAGTCTTTCGAAATTTGTAAATCATTTTACTTTTGTACTTTAAAATAATGAAATTTCTATATTCCATTATATACCAATTTATATTCCTAAAAATGATCTTAATTTAGTACCATAACTATGACCCGTGCAACGCACGGGTGTGATACTAGTATATTGCATATTCATCTATGGTAATAGACTTATTTCGTGTATTCCACAAAGAGTATTTTTAAATTATTGAATCATATAGAATTTAAAGGATATACATGGGATTTACTAATTAAATTAGTAAACAGTTAATAATTTAGGAAATAATTTTGGCTTTTATGGAAATACGTGATCATTTTTTTGAATAATTTTAATTTAGTTTTAATACCAGAGTAATAAAAAGTAAATTTATTAATGATAAGAGTTTAAGTGAGAATAAGGCTTTAATTTTATTTTCTTTCCTAAATTATTCACTATTTGCAAATTACCTTAGTTTATAAATTGTGAATAAGATTAATTTTTATGAGCTATTAATAATTTAGTATTGCAGAAAGTAAATAATGGCATAATTTAAATATTTAAATTCAATTCAAGTAGTCACGAGAGACCAAAAAGGAAAAAAAATACAAATATCCATTTAAATACCTAAATTAATTAGACGTATTTTCTAATTTCCTAATTTATGAAAAAACTGGATTCCATTCTTATTTGGAAGAGTAAATTCCATAATTGGTCCTTTATAACAGGGGGGTTTCCATATTTAGTCCTCTATTATCAAATATTACCCCCGTAGTCCTTTTTTTAAGGGTACCTTTCCACAAATGGTCCTTTTTTTGATCTTCTGCCGTGTTGGTGTTAATTTAAAGGCTAAAAATATAATTTGACGTCAACATTATGTCTAGTGACGTGTTCTGATATTGGTTAAGCGGATAACACAAAAATAATGACTATGATTGTGGGCTAGGATTCTGACGAAAGATCACATTTGTAGACTATAATTGTCGTAAAAAGCGACTGTGATTCACAAACGACGCAAATGAAACAGCCTTTGGAATTGTGTATGACAAAAGAGATATATTATCATTGTGAAATTACACTTTTAGCCCTCAAATTAACACCAACATGATAGAAGATCAAAAAAAGGACTATTTGTGAAAAGGTACCCCATAAAAGAAGGACCACTTGGGTAATATTTGATAATAAAGGACTAAATAGGGAAACCCTCCTGTTATAAAGGACCAATTATAGAATTTACTCTATTCGGAATTAGTAATTATGTACGGATATAATTTAATAAATACCACAATAATATTAATAGTCGATTGATTTTCTTTATTTTAAATAATTACTACACGCAAATATATATATTTAATAGTAATACAAATTTATTGATTTATTTCTTATTAGCAGAAAGGATATTATTGGATACTTGGTGATGTTGTTGAAATTGAAAACACCAATGAATGGTGTTATCTTGGTTGTCCCAAGTGCCAACGGAAGGTTGCTCCAGATGCTACGAGGTTCAAGTGTATGAAATGCGACAGAGATTATCCTGAGGGAGTGTATAGGTTGTAATTTGCATTCAAATATTTAATACCCCAAAAGAATAATTTTTAAAATTACTAATTCTTAACGTATGATAAATAGATACAAGGTGAGCATTTGCGTTATTGATAATAGCGATGCTGCTTCGCTTATTTTGTGGGATAAGGAATGTTCAGAGCTTCTTGGAATGCCAGCCGGTGCCATGAAGAGTATGATGGACGAGGTATTGACTTATTTAACTCTTTATAAAAAATTTTATAATGCAATTTAAAATACCACTTTTTGAAACGTATAGAGAAATGATGATTCAAGCAACATTCCGAAGGAGATTAGAGACATTGTTGATTTGCGGGCTTTATTTTGCATATACCTCAAAGAGGCTATGGAAAATAATTCCTATGTCGGTGGCAAAAGTTTTGGAGTTTCGGATCTTTTAACAGATAAAACTATCATATCTCGATATGAAACCATTGATTTGGATGATCAATTTGAACAAGCCCTTATAGAACATGAGAAGAATGGAGATGCTTTAAAAATGGTATTTTTACTCTCACCCATAAGCTAACGTGATTTCCAAAAAACCACAGCTTTATTATCAATGAAAAAATATTAAACTTTAATTTTACTTGCAGATTGGTTCAAATGATGTCCTGAAGGTTTTGAGAGATGAGAGTATATCAAGAAAAGAAGTAATTCATCAAGCGGACCCTGTGAAAAGATCTTTACAAGATGAATTCAGTTCAACTGCAGAAAATAAGAGATTGAAGGCAGTCAAGGTGGAGAAGGAGTGACGTAGAAATCAACAGTTTTATTTTGTGTTTGATGAATTTAAATTTTGAAACACTTGCATCCTGCTCTGTTTTTTAAGTTGTTTTAAGTTTAATTCCGTTTTTTAAATTCTCAATAAAGCAAACTTGCCTTTCTTAGGAGATTTACTTTTGAGGTTATGATTTTGTTTACTTGCATTTATAGATTTTAAATAAGTTCTATTCAAGTAGTCACGAGAGGCCAAAAAGGAAAAAAATAGTAATTTATTTAAAATACATCAACCAAAAAGGAATTTATAAGAAGCAAAGGTAATAAAATATTTCCTAACAATGTTCAAACATCCAAACCGTTAATAAATCAATGTTACCGTAAATACGTAATTACTCAATTATAAAATATTCAAATTCGTAGGTGTTCTAATTGTAAAAAGGTAAGTAATACTAAAATATTTAAAGTGATAATAAAATATTCAAACAAGTTTTCTAATTGGAAAAAGGTAAGTAATAATAAAATATTCAAACATGATTACACTTACCTTTAATAAAACAATCCTTTCTAACCAGTTTACACGATTGGTATGTATGGTAATAATGGTATTCAATTATGTTTACTGATATAGATTTAATAATATCTAAAAACTTATTACATTTAAAAATGGTAATATACATCATTATATTGAACGGTTAAATAAATATAAACATGTATTTTGGTAAAAAAGTTTTCACACACGCCATGTTAAATAAAAAAAAGTATTCACACACACCATGTTGAATAAAAAAATAAGTATGTATATCATAAAAGGTAATTAAAAAATTAATTACCATAATAAAGTAAGGCTAATAAAAAATATATATATATTATTTTGGTATTATGTGAATTTATACAAATGGTAATTGTATTTAATTATATTCACTAATTTATATGTAATAATATCTAATAAAATATTACATCTAAAAATGGTAATATATACATGTATTTTGATAAGAAAAAATCATATAAAGTATTGAGTACGTATATTTAATATAAAGTATTAAGTACGCATACAAAAAAGGTAATTAAAAATCTAATTACCACACTAAAGAAAGGCTAATAAAATAGATATACTATTATGTTATCCTTTAATATAACTGTGTATTCTGAAATTGAAAATAAAAATAGAAAAATATGTATAGAGTAATGTAAATTTTTAACACGTATACAAAAAAGGTAATAAAAACTTATTAATTGTAGAGATTTAAGACATTAATGCAGGGGAACAAATTAGAGGAAAGTTGCCTTCTCGAAAAGGTAAGTTTTAATAGACATAAAAAGATAAGTAAAAACAAAATTTTGGGCAGATTCCTCATACCATCACATCTGCTGCCTATAAAATCTCTACCAGATGTATGATTATTTGTGGTGATTAGTGAGTATATGATAAAGAAAAAAACCTGGCATTCTAATCACCTACATTCAAAAAAACCTGGCTTTCTAATCACCTACATTCAAAAGCATTCGATACACAACTAGAGAAGCATTCGAGAGAGCCGATATTGAGAGGGCATTTGCAGAGTAACGAATTACTTATGCGGCAATTAAAGACGTCAACAAGAATTATTGGTACAAAGCGCATCAACCCCGATTCAAACATGGGTACATCACTCATACTTTAATTCAATTATTAATAATAAATTTTTCACTAAACATTAAATCGCGGAATCTCTAAACATGTTGATTTTTATTTGAAATCAGATGACCAAAAGCAATATAATAACGTAAAAATCAAACACATGTAACAGAGTGCATATACCTTATCAGTACTCCGGAATTTGAATGTCTCCTCAAGTATTCCTAAGAATTGAAGCAGTTTCTTCCAATAAACCAAGATATACCTATGAACTCAATAAAAAAACATTTTAGAAAATGGGTTAGTCCGGATTTTTAACCAAAAAAACTCTGGCGTGTGTATGTTAAATGTAGAATCTGAATGACAGTTATATATTCGTATATAAAATTTTTATATACTAACACGAATGTACCATATCAATCTGTCATGATTCACAAAAAAAATGGTTGGGTGCATTTCTTCCAAATGCTAAATTCCTAATTTCAAGAAATAACTAATTTAATAGAATTAGAACATAATTATCAAACAATTTGTAAAATCTGGAACATCCTCATAGAAACAAATTGGTCTCTTTATTATTCTTATTACTGTGATTTTTTTTAATTTTTTTATATTTATTAAAAAAAATTCCGAAATATTTAAAAAAATTAATACCAATAAATCGTTATGATATAATTATATCAAAATTACGACATGTGTTTCTACCAATTTCTAAATTCCCGATCCAAAACAAATAATTGAGGACTTAGATCTAATTTCATATAAAAACGAAGATTAGATCTTTAACTTACATTTAGTATTAAGAACTGGACAATGCAGACCCTGACTTTGTCTCCTCCAGTCCAAAACCATTCTTCCGATTTTTGGAGAACGAAACGAGCAAAATGAATTTTTATCAAAAAAAAATTATAAACATGACCCGCAGAGAAATAAATCGCGTTGAGGGATTAGAAACACGATTGTATAACCTTGCCGACCAAAAAAAATTATGAATTGAAGAAGCAAGGAGTCAATTGATCGAAAACAAGATGAAGAGGAGTTGAAGAAATCGAAGAGAACCGAAGAAGAGAGAGGGGGGTCGGCGAAGAAGACTCTGGATTACGTAATCCAGATATTTTATTCATTTGGGATATGGGTATCACTTGGGCCAAGTTTTGAAAAGTGCATAAGTTAATAACCATTAAGTTTTGGGCCGAAAATTATTTAATATTACTTGGGCCATTTGTTAGAAATATATTGGGACAAGAAAATATAATACATACTTTAATACACAATTCACAAAATTTAAACATTACAAACATTGTCAATTATTTTTTTTTAAATTATTATGAGATACATTAAATTAGAATTTTGTTGAAAAAGATAACAATTAAAAATTAAAACACTTTTACACTAACAAGAAAATTTATTTTATTTGAGCTGATATTTTCTTACGTTTGTAAATTTAAGACATCGGCCGCTCAGTACATTCGAGATATGATTCTTCCCAAACAATTTCACGAACAGACGGTGACATTGCAAGCTCTTCATTTCAGAATGAAACAAGATCCATTTCAAATCTTACTCGCGGTATGATCACTATAACATTGATCAAAATAATATATTACACATTTTTTCAATAAAAATATAGTTATGATGATTTCCTTTCACAGAATGCACAATGCCAGCGTCAAACGCACTTGGGGCCTCACAATGTTCAAGGAGTTCAACCGTAAATAGTTCATTTATTACTCAAATATTTGGCGAGCGTTGGTCATTTGACCCGTCTTTTAATAGTACACAACCCAATGATGATGTGATTGATCCAATCTTTGATGGAGACAATGAGGGTGAAGATCTGAACACGATTCCGTTAAGGACTAATTCAGTTCAATCAGAATCATCTTTCAGAAATGATGTCAAGGAATTGGACATTGGAGATCCTATTTATGAATGTGAATTCTGTATGTCATATTTTTGGTATGAAGAGCGTACTCTTGGCCGATCGAAAAAGAATAACCCAAAATATGGCTCTTGCTGTAAGCATGGGAAAATTGAAGTGGCCTTTGTTAAAAATCCACTTGATCTGTTATGGGAACTATTAACTGGAACAGATGATTCGAGCCGGCACTTTCAACAGAAAATCCGTTCATACAAGTGCATGTTTTCGTTTATATCGACAAAAGGAGATATCATTAAAGATGTGAATCGTGGAAGGTCTCTGCCTGTCTACAAACTTGGTGGTAGAAATTATCATATGATTGGTTCTTTGATTCCAAGCAATGGTGTTTCCCCCAGATTTGCACAGTTATACATACATGATACAGAAAATGAAACTATAAACCGTATGAAAGTTGTGAGGTATGTCATTTACTGATATTATACTTGAAATATATTGAAGTCACCAACGTGCTTAGTACACACATATTGATAATGTAATATATACATATGCTAACAATGTCTATCATTTTAAATATAGGAAAGACGACAACATTAGCACGTTGCGAGGAAATTTGGTTGAGCAATTACAACAAATGTTGGATGACCATAATGTTTTGGTTAAATCATTTCGGATGACTTGCACAAAAATAATGGAAACTTAGTGCACGAATATTCGACTGAGGTTGATATGTAAACGAAACTCCGACCCTAGAAGATATAATTTACCAACTGCATCAGAGGTAGCTGCGTTGGTCGTTGGTGATTTTGATCAATCGTTAGGGGAACGAGACATATTGCAACTCTGGGATCCACCTAGATGAGTCTAGTATTCGCTCAACTTGGGGCGTATGAATCCTAACGTTATAGGTAATAATAAGGGGATACCACTACTACCTTATCGAGAGGACATTCCATTTTCAAATGAAGCAAGCATTGGTAGTGGGGGTCGAAGAAACGTTAGCATTAGAGAGTTTCTTGCTTTTAGATTTCATGAGCGCAAAAATGAAAATCCTTTCATTTTATATTCAAGAAAGCTTTTTCAGGAGATAGTTGTAGATGGATATACCATGATGGAGTCATTACAGTTATTATGGATAAGAACCCGCCAGAAGAAGCTCCGGTGTGAGATGTATAATCGTCTGTCAGACTCACTACTCCATGGGGACATTGATGCTTCGGCCACAGGTAAGAGAGTAGTTCTCCCGTCAACGTTTGTTGGTGGTGCACGTTACATGATACAGAACTATCAAGATGCTATGGCAATATGTCGATGGGCTGGCTATCCTGATTTATTCTTGACTTTTACATGCAATCCAAAGTGGCCAGAAATCACTCGATTTCTTGAAAAAAGAAATATAAGTCCTCAAGATCGTCCGGATATATGTTGCAGAGTTTTCCATATGAAATTAAATATGCTCATTAAAGAACTGCACAAGCAACAACTTTTTGGAATAGTTCGTGCAGGTACTATACACTAACTTCATTTTTCCTACTTTACATCAACACTTGCACACGTGGGATTAATTTAACGCTTAAAAATTATTTTTGAATGCAGTTGTTTATACCATTGAGTTTCGAAGCGAGGATTACCGCATGCGCATATATTATTATTCTTGGGCCAACAGAGCAAAAATCCAACTCCTCAAGCTATTGACAAAATGATTTCTGCTGAACTCCCTGATAAAGATTTGGATCCTAGGTATTTTCAAGCAGTCTTTGATTTTATGGTTCATGGACCTTGCGGACCGTTTGCAGCAGGCGCCCCTTGCATGGACAATGGTAGATGCACCAGACATTTTCCAAAAGAATTCAATAATGATACTATCATTGATGACGATGGATATGCAAGGTACAGAAGACGTAACGATGGACGAACGATTGAAAAAAATGGGGTTATTTTGGACAATCGTTTTGTCGTACCACATAACAGGTACTTACTCATGAAATATGGAGCGCATCTGAATGTCGAATGGTGTAGCCAAACACGCTCCATCAAGTATTTGTTTAAGTATGTCAAAAAAGGTCATGATCGAGTTACTGCTGTTTTTTATGAAAACTCCAAGAATTCTGCGGATTTAGCAATAGATGAGACAAACGAAATCAAACTCTACTATGATTGTAGATATATTTGTCCATGTGAAGCTATGTGGAGAATCTTTGGATATGAGTTGTAGTATAAAAATCCGACTGTTGAGCGCTTGAGCTTTCATTTGCCAAATGAACAAATGATATTTTTTGAAGACGATGATAATGCCTCTGAAGTTGTCCGACGAGAAAGCATTAAAGAGAGTAAATTTCTGGCATGGATGACTGCAAATAAAACTTATCCCAATGCACGAGCTCTAACATAGGGTGAATTTCCACAAAAATTTGTTTGGAAGTCAGATAAGAGACAATATGAACCTCGAAAGAGAGGTTTTGCAATAGGACGTTTGAGTTATGTTCCTCCAGGTACAGGTGAACCGTACTACCTGAGATGTCTTCTAAACATAGTGTGTGGGGCTACCTGCTACGATGATATCAAAACTGTAAATGGCATTGTTCATGAATCATACCGTGATGCATGTTATGCATTGGGATTGCTTGACGATGATAGAGAATATCTGGACGCATTCGTGGAGGCAAGTCACTGGGCTTCTGCTGCGCAGCTAAGGAATTTATTTGCAACACTATTGACAACGGAATCAATGTCGAGACCAAGGCATGTGTGGGAGCAATGTTGGCAGTATATGGGAGATGATGTTTTGTACCGGCAACGTCGTTTTTTGGATCATGAAGGTATTTTTTTTAATTTTATAATGATTTCAAATAAAAACACTATGACTAACACTTTATAAATTTTAATTAGGTCTAATTCTTACTGACGATGAGATTCAGAATCATATTCTATGTGATCTCGAAGACTTGCTGAGGAGTCGTGGTAAGAGCCTTCGCGATTACACAGATATGCCTCAAGCAAACCTCCAGAGAATTTGGATTTCAGCCAATCGACTGATTTTTGATGAAATGCAATAAGATCGAATAACATTGGCAAGGGAGCACACCAGACTATTGCGTTCACTGAACAATGAACAACGTGCAGCGTATGAAGCAGTAATGCAATCTGTTCAAACAAATGCTGGAAAAGTTTTCTTTCTGTACGGATATGGAGGCACTGGCAAGACATATGTCTAGAGAACATTATCAGCTGCAATACGATGTCGAGGTGATATAGTACTGAATGTTGCGTCAAGTGGTATAGCATCGTTATTGTTGCCAGGTGGTAGAACGGCTCACTTGCGTTTTAAGCTCCCATTGATTCCAGATGAAAACTCTACTTGCAACATAGGGCAAGGCTCTCCGCTGGTACAACTCTTGGTGAAAGCGAAATTAATCATTTGGGATGAAGCCCCTATGACACACAAATATCGCTTCGAAGCTTTGGATAGAAGTTTGCGCGATATTCTACGATTTTCTAATCCGATGAGTGAACAACAACTTTCGGAGGAAAAACAATTGTCTTTGGTGGAGATTTTCGTCAAATTTTGCCAGTTATTCCAAAAGGAACGAGACAGGACATCGTTAACTCAACGATTAATTCTTCATACATTTGGGAAGACTGCACTGTGTTGCGTTTAACGAAAAACATGCGGCTGCAATCAATGATTCATGATAGTGGTTACGATCAATCATTTGAATTCAGCAACGCAGGTGATGAACATGACGGCTATGCTGAGGTGATAATTCCTGATGACATGTTACTTCCGTGTTCTGAAGATCCAATAGCCACTATAGTGAATTCAACTTATCCTAACTTTCAAAAAATAGCCAATGAACTGAGCTACTTGCAGGAGCGCGCAATTTTGGCTCCTACATTGGATGTCTTCGATTCCATAAACGAATATATGACAACGATGAATCCAAGCAGCGAGACTCGAACATACCTTAGTCCTGATAAAGTTGAGAACTCGGACTGCAGTTCAAGTTTTTTTGGTGACCTACACTCTCCCGAATTCTTAAATAAGATTCGTGCTTTAGGTGTACCGAATCATGAATTAACTCTGAAGGTAGGCACGCCTATTATGTTGTTGAGAAATATTGACCATTCAATGGGTTTATGTAATGGTACACGGTTGATAGTAACCCAGTTGGCTAAGCACTCAATACAAGGAAAAATATTATCAGGAAGCCACATGAG